TGATTCCAACATTGTTTTCTTCTTTGAACAAAAGAAAAAGACAATGTTAAGAACCAATTATATAAGGACAAGGCTGTATTCTCATTACTATATCAGTATACTTCCTTTCTTCCCTGGACTTGTGCGAATGACGCCGCAGGTTTCTTTATATATAATTATTTTTGGTACTTTCTTCTCAAACAAAGTGAAGGGTGAATATTGAGCAAAGAGCTTCCGATAAGTAAAGTATTTTATGTGTATCTATATATAAGTAATGCTTTTTTCCCAACATATATATCTTTCTTCTTGTCTTCACAAAAACAAAATAAATTAATTGATCAATCGATACTAATATCTAATCATCTTTCCGAATATATAAAGTTCACTATTCCGTCTGATTTCCTCCGAAACTAAAACCCCAAGTCTTGTGGCCCCTTTGAAATTGTTGTGGAACCATTTAAAAGGACGTTAGGTGTGTCTGGTGTTGAAAAAGCATTTAATAGTTATCAAATTTAGTTAAAATAGATTTTTTTTTAAGAGACAAAAAATTCTAGTTTATAAAATTGCATTCTAGTTGCATATTTTAGGCAACTGTTTTCTTTTAGACAATTTTATCCAATTGCAGTCTTTCGAAAAAAAAAATTGTAAATAGCAAAAGTAAACTCTCCTTCACAATGTTTGGCACCAGGAACTTTTTCAGCGTTGCAGGCAAAGAATAACAAAAGAAGTATTGTCCAAGAAAGAGACAATGTTGTTATATGAGGACAAGGTTTCATTCCCATTATCTTATCAATAACTATGTATTATTCCATCCAAGTGTGCCAACGAACCCGCTGCTTTCGGTACGGTTCTCTTCTTCAAACAAGTGAATGGTGAATCATGGAGCAATTCAAATAAGTAAGTGTTATATTGTTCATATAGGTCATGTTTTTTCCAATATATCTTTCGTCGTCTTTACAATAACAAAGAAATTGATTGATCGATTGATATCTAATCATCTTCCCGAAAATAACATACCATATCTTAAAATTTGGCACTCAATAATAATAATATCAGATTTAACACAAAACCCAAAAGCCTGACTTGCAATTTTCTATTTTTACATTTGATTAATGTTTATATATATATATATATATATATATATATATATATATATATATATATATTTTCCGAAGTGAAATGTGTTTAATTTTAGGATTAATTCCACTTACACCCTCTAATAGTTGCCTATATTTCACTTACACCCCCTCTATGTTTTAATATTCCACCTACCTCCCTTGAGGTTTTGGTTTGCGTAGCCAATTACCCCCCGTCGTTAAGCAACTCTCGATCTGTGCTGATGTCAGCATTAGAAAATTGTTAGAAAATCAATTTTGCCCTTCTAATGTCTAAAATGACATCTTTAACCTCTTTCACCAATACGCAATTACAAAACTACCCTTAATTTGTTAACTCAAGTGTACAAGAATCCCTTCCTTTCACTTCATAATATATATATATATATATATTCATATATCATCTTCTTCCTTCTACACATACCCATGCAATTCTATTCTAGGGCCAGAGATTGGTTATATAACAAACCCATGTTATATCATCATTTTCTCTCTAAAGTTTCTTTCTCTACCCTCGAAGCAATTGTGGAGCCTAAATTGGTCCTTCATTTTGCTGGCTTCAAGCTCTCAATTGTTGTGTTCTTAAAATGGTTTGTCTACTGAGAACGGCCAGAGTTTTAGTTTGCCCAAGGGTCGAGGCTTTTGTAAGCCAGAAAGTCATGGTTGAGGGTTCCGACGCTAACGGTGGTGATCACCAGCACAATGTTAGAGAGGCTGTAAGGGCTGGGTTCGGCCCTCTCATCAGAGCACGAGACGCTGATTTTTACTGCCAATTATGACGCCATCGAGCCTTTAATTTGATGTCCTACTGCCGAGAGACATTGACAGCGGCTGTTGATAAGGCTTCTGGTTTGGGTATTGGCCATTTGGGTTTGAAGTTGGAGTATTTTGGGGCAAATATGGTGAGAAATGGCGAGATTAAACTGACAGACGAAGAAACTTCTAGCTGTCGCCATCGTCGTTAAAGATACCGTCGCCAGAGAAGATGGTCAACTTTTTCTCACTCTCTCTCTTTCATGTTTTTTTCCTCGACTAGATAAAAACAAGAAGTTTCTTGAGTGGTTTGCTCAAGAAAATTTTATGCGCCGTGAATCTCGATCTTAGGGAATGAAGTAGTCCATGGTGCACCGTCGGCAGCTGGCAATCCTTCAGTGATATTAAGGAATCTGATGATGAAATCCCTTCCAAAATGACTCCAATAGTAAGAATTCAAAGATTCAATCAGTTTGTAATAGCACAGATGCACCATTGGAAAACGCCGAGGAAGTTCCAGCTCTCGCCGTCAGTGTTGAAGATGCCATCGCTGGAGAAGATGGGTTCAATGTTCATCACTTAATACCCTAGGCTGTTTGCTAGAAAATATATCAAATATGCAAGGTTTCAGAGGGGAAAACAAATAACTCGATTTATAGGTCCTTTCACTCATTCTCCTAATGGAAGAAAAGCTAGAGGATTTCAGTGCTTTAAAGTCCCTATTTCTATTTATAATGAGCTTGAGAAGATTAGTTTTTTGTGATACAAAGAGAGTGTGTAGTCACCGTCGTAATGCTGGACAAGAACAAGGTAAGCCGGATTAAAGACCATAGTGGCGAAGTTCACAACTAACCCCCCCAGTTCAGTCCGGCGAAGCTTCGCGGTTTGTTCACTGCACGTTGGTGGTCCCGTGATGAAGAATGGTAGATGTGATAAGAACCAGCAAACTGTCCTTGCAATTGAACGGCGGGCAACGAACTGTCCTTGCAATTGAATGGCGGGCAGTAAGGAGAACGGTTTGGCTGTGATAAGAACTATCTTTTTATGTGATTGCTGTTTGTGTATTCTATCGGTGGCATAGTTTCTTCATCGCTAGCAACAATGAAAAAAAAAAAAAAAAAAAAAAAAAAAAAAAAAAAAAAAGAAATATATATATATGTGTGTGTGTGTGTGTAAGGGTGTTAAAGTCTTTTCCTTTAAGTTATAAATTTTAATATATAATTCATGGGTAAAACAGTAAAATCACACATTTCTATTGGTAAACTAGACGGTGGTTACTGACAGAGGGTGTAGGTGGAATTATGAAACGTAAAAGGGGTGTGTGTGGAAAATAGGCAAACGTCAAGGGGTGTAGGTGGAATTAACCCTTACTTTTATTTATGTATATTTGTGAAATGTCACAAAATGTCCCTCCCTTACTAAAATTTCTCCAAATCTTTATTTCTTTTCTCATTTTTATTTTATTTGTCTTTTTCTTCATATTGCTTTGATTCCCTTTAAAAATTTTGTATTTCTTTTCTTTAAAACCCTAATTTTTTCTTTTTAAAAATTCCCTCGTTTTACTTATTTTATCTTCTTCTTCTTCTTCTTCTTCTTCTTCTTCTTTTTTTTTTTTTCTCTCTCTCTCTCTGCGAGTGCTGCAACATTGAACAATGACTCATGATGTATACAACATTTATTTGTCAGCTAACACAATCCCTTCTCCCCTCTTCGTTTTCTGTAGAAGTTTGAATTAAAAGGGTATTGGAGATTTCTTGGTTTCTGATCATTTTTATTTTTTATCTAGAGAATTGGTTCTGAGAGATGAGTTTATGATGAGAAGCTTTTAATCATAAATTTGAGATATTGGAGGTGTTAGAATACATTCTTGAATATATTATTTTATTCAATATAATAATATATTCTAATCATGTATAGGTTTACTATATAGGGTTTAGATTTCTTACTCTTCGTACATCTCGTCACTTATATAAACTCCTATGTATCTTCACATCTATACACATCAATACAATACAGAGTTCTTTTATATATATATATATAACATGGTATCAGAGCCTTTTGATCTCTGGTAAACAATCTACCAGTTTATCGTAGTCACCACCGGGGATGGCACCATTAGCCCCATCCTCAGTGGCGGTGGTCAACCTGCAAATCATGCTTGCAAACTCACGCTTCAGCACTCTAAATCACGCCACCATGAGCCTCAAGTGGTAATCCCACTTTTCCATGCGTTTTTACGCGCACCAACGGTAATCCCGCACCTCAACATGTCAAATCAGCTCCGTCACTGTGCCACCACGCGCCATTAGTGGTCATCATGTGCTCACACGCACCTTTAACCTATTCACACTCTGCACCTACCTCAAAGATCTTCAGAGATCCACCCTACGTCACTTGACATGCCAGAATTAGTCCAACGTCAAACGCATTCTGCAACGGTGCCAGTAGTTGTGCCAAGTCTTATACCACGTCAGTTGCGCGCTATGCAGCAGAGGTGCTAGCAATAGTGCCAAGTCACCTGCCACTTTAGTTGCCATATCATCAGCCACATTAGCATCGGTGCCACGTCAGCTACATCAAGGTGAAAGGGTTATCTTCAAACTCATAATGGCTTCATATAACCCACCTTGACTTTGAGGGGGACTGTTAGAATATATTCTTTAATATATTGTTACCATGTATTATTAGAATATATTATATAATATATCATTACCATATATAGCATTACTTTTTATGGTAGTTGTCTTAACCTACCCTCATTACCATATATAGCATTACCTTATATGGTAATGACTTGCTCTCCACACATGACATTTCCTTTATAAACCCCATGTACTCTTATATTACATATCTCATATATCAATATACTATATAGAGTTATACTCTTTCTTTTATTTCTAACATGGTATCAAAGCCTCTCGATTATTGGTAACAATCTTATCAGTTTATCATAATCACTGTCGTCGATGGCACCATCAGCCCCATCCCTGGCGGTCAACCTTCAGCGATCAACTTTCAAACTTATTCTTCCACATCCCAACCTTTAGTTTAAAGTTCATAATCAGCAAAAGCTTTATTTGGCCGCCCAATCAACCTTCAAGACACATCAACAGCGGTGCCAGTAGTAATGCATCACCTACCACGACAGTTGCCATGTCAGACACAGCCAGCAGCAGTACCAGTAGTAGTGTTACGTCACCTGCCACGTTAGTTGCCATGTCAGACACAGTCAGCAGCAGTGCCAACAGTAATGCCACATCACCTGCCACGTCAGTTGTTAATCCTGTCTCCATCTTCATCATGGGTGAAAACCCATCTTCACCAAATTGCTTCCTCTATGCCGTTTTTAAGATTTCATTTCGAAACTCAAGATGGTTTCATTCAATCCACCTTGATTTTGAAGGGGCTATTAGAATATATTGTAGAATATATTATTACTATATTGTAGAGAATATATTCTAACCATATATAGGTTTACCATATAGGGTTTAGGTTTCTTGCTCTCCACACATCTCGTCACCTATATAAACCTCTATGTATCTTCACATCTATACACATCAATACAATAAGGAGTTCTCTTTTTATATTCAACAGGAGGAAAGCGAATAACTAAAATCTTTGTGTTTGTGAACATAAATTTAGGTGAATTTAGGTCACACCACTGCACATGCTTTGGTAAACATTGTGAGTTGCACAATGCGAAATAGTTGTGGAATATAATATGGATAAGTAACCTAGAGGGGGTGAATAGGTTCAACTTGCACTTTTTATCCAGTTTTGCCTAAAATTAGATTTACCGAAATAAACATAAATTAAACAACCCACAAAGCAAAAATTAATACAAGTAAACAAAGTTTGAGAGATGATACCAGGATTTTGAACGAAGAAATTTTGATTGTCCGAATAGACTAATTGTTGTAGGAAAAATCTCGTGGACTGCTGTCCAGAGCGAAATTATTCACTATTTTTGAAGCAAAATACACTGAACTTTGACTCAAACTCACACCCTATCATTCTACTAAAAATCAATTGCTGACAATTCCTGACTTTGTGACTTCTCCGTCCAATAGTGCTCGACCTGAGGCTTACTCTTGATCTCTGTAGAAGGATTGCTATTGGATCAAACAACACTCCATGAATGCTTTGACCCCTTCAAAGTGTGATTGAATCGCCCATTTTCTTCAATTCTGAATTTAATGAAGAACAATTAAAATCCCACTTGTTGAAATTTTTGAATCTTCAATTATACTCTAGATAGAAAACAACACTCCTAAATCACTCTTGTGTTTATGTATGCTCTCAAAAATAAAATCAGAAAAATCAAGTTTGATTTTCTAACTAAATTAAAATATTTCTCAAAGGCTTTCAAAAGAGTTAAAGAATTTTATATGCAAAAGCCATAAACCTAAGTGAGAAAACATGTTTTTATAAACTTTTGAAAACCTAATTGTACTTGGAAAACAAGTCAATTTCATGCATCATCAATATAGAAAAATTCTATTGAAAATAGGAAGTTGAAATAGAATAGGAAATAAAGTTATGTTGGACTTGAACCGGTTCAAGTTGGGTTGAACCGGTTCAAGTTGGCCAGAAAGTATTTTGAGAAAATGATGTTGAAACTTGAACTGGTTCAAGTGGGGCTGAACCGGTTCAAGTTGGACAGACTTGTTTGGCCTTCAAAAGTTGAACCGATTCAAGTTTTGTTGAACCGATTCAAGTTAGGAAGAATGAAAATTTTCTCTAAAAGCTTAATTTTGAATTCCCCAAGTGTCCTCACATGCTCGCATACCTTACTGGGGCATTATTCTTATCATCACGGAGTGTATCAAAGTATGAATACGATCACTTCTTCAATTCCGCTTCCGATCTTAATTCTTGACAAATCAAACCAAAAATTTTGACAACGAAATTTGCCAATTATAAATTTATTTCTCACAAGCATCACCATAATCTCTTGAATTTTTTTGCTTGGTTGGAGTCAGGGGCGGAGCCAATATTTTAATTCAGAAGGGGTGCAGTGTACAAAAAAAAAAAAATATATATATATATATATATATATAATTTAAATAAGAACACAAAATATATATATATATATATTACATACTATATACATCATTTTTAATTGCAAAAAAAAGAATGTTAAGAAGTAAGGGACCAAAAAAAATTAATAAGAAGAAGAAGAAGAAAAAGGGAAGAAAAATTATAAATTTAAAAGGAAAAAAAATTATAGTTTGAGTAAAGAAGGAAAATTTAACTTTTTTTTTAAGGAAATCAAAAGAATATTTAGAGTAAAAGAAAAAAGAAAGAAAAATTTAGAAGATAATTTTAGAAATTTAAAATTTTAGGGGAGGCATATATAGAAATTTTCTTATAAATGTACAAATTAAAATAAAAATTACTATATTTTATAGTGGGCGGGGCCAAACAAGAGGGAGCATGCCCCATCTGGGCACACATTGGCTCCACCCCTGATTGGAGTGGATGATGAATTCTGGTTTGGACTCAAATTGCAAGTGCTATTTGAGCAAAATAGGCATATCTCAATTTCGGAAGTGGGGTTTGAATTTTGTTCTCAGAAAAATCTGCAGTTGTTTTTCTTCAAAATTATTTCACAGATTATACACATAGATTTGTGCAGAAGAGAGAGAAACGTGAACAGAGGATGAGCAAGATAGAGAGTGTGTTTTGTCAAATAAAAAGAAAACGCATGTTGAGTGGGTTTTTGTCGGCTAAACTAAATTGTTGATTATATCATTTTCTTTTTCTCTGTTCTTATATTAAAAGTTGTTCACTGACTTACAAAAAAAAAATAATAAAAACTTGTTTAGCCTATAATAAATTGTTAAACATAGACAAATGATGTCAAATTAGACAAATGATGTCAAATTCGACAAGATTTGTGGTGTTGATTTTATTGTGGCAAACGACTTCGACAATATTATTGGGAGACCAGTCCAACGTCTTTATACCTTTCATTTTGGAAAGTGTGAAGAGACACTAAAGTCACATGCCTTGTTAATACTGGCTATAATACTGGTTACATGACTTACTTTTAACCATTAGAATTCTATTAATTATATCTTGATTATAGGAGGCAGAGTTATATTAATGAACAGAGAATTGTAGAACATAGAATCTGCTAAAACACTAGAAGAACATGTTTCTATTAGCATCGTCGAAAAGCTTGCTCGCCACTCTGATTTGCCTCCTGAGCGTTGTATCTTCAAAGTGCATGAAAAACTTCGAAAGATAAATCCAGATGCATATGAACCAGCTATTGTTGCAATTGGTCCTTACCACCGAGGAAAAACTAATCTCCAAGGGATGGAAAAGATTAAACTACACTACCTAAAATCACTTCTTGTACGAAGGAAAGAGACAAGCGCAGAGAGATACGTAATTGCAATGAGGGCACTGGAGGAAGAGGCACGGAAATGTTATGCAGAACCCATCGGCGTCAGTTCAGAAGAATTCGTGCATATGATGCTTCTTGATGGTTGCTTCATCGTTGAACTGGTCCTGAAGTTGTCAAAAAACGTTACAAGAGATGAAAATGACCCTATTTTCAGAACAGATTGGATGCCTTACTTCTTAGCGCTTGATTTGTTTTTATTCGAAAATCAGGTTCCTTTTTTCGTTCTTCTCAAATTATATGACTTGATTGAGGGTCCAAAAGAAGAGCTCGTTAACATTGCATTGTCGGCCTTTAACCCCTTATTTCAAGATCTATTGGTCTCCAGATTTGATATGAATTCTCTTCACAAAGTCCAACATATACTCGACTTACTACACAGTAGTAGATGCCCTCCATTTGGAAGGATTGGGAAAATAACGAGAAGTGATTGGGAAAGCATACAATGTACATCTCAACTTCAAAAGGCGGGAATTAAGTTCAAGAAAGCTGAAGGCAGCAGCAACTTGTTTGATATTACATATTCTAATGGGACAATGAGAATCCCACATTTAACCATTGATGATTACACAGAGTCCCTCTTCAGAAACCTCATCGCGCATGAGCAGTATGGTGGTAGAAGTATTGTTTGCTATATCACTCATTACTGCATGTTCATGGATTATCTCGTTGACTACGCAGAGGACATTAGTTCATTGCGTCGTGATGGAATTATCACAAACAGTCTAGGTGGTGATGAAGTCGTTTCCACCATGTTCAGCAAGCTTGGATACAATATCAACATCAATCCCTATCATTTCAGCTATGCTAACATTTTCAATGATGTGAATAAGCATTGCAGGAAACGTCAACATATATGGATGGCCACATTAAGGCATGATTATTTCAATAGTCCGTGGGCAATCATTTCCTTTCTTGGAGCCGTTCTATTGCTTCTGCTTACTATCATACAAGCTGTATTTGGTGTATGTTCATTTTTTGTTCACAAATCTTAGGTTCCTTCGTCTCTTCACTTTTAGCATATAATCCCAAATATGTATAATCTTATATTTTAACCATTTGAAGTAATAAAATCCCAGACCACTATCAAGGGAAATTCAGGGAAACTTGTACTATTTGTGGTTCGCTATATCATATATATTTTGAAGTTTGACAACCAAACAGTAATGACAATTTGCATCTTATGTATATATATGATTGGGTTGTACGAATATTACAAAATCTATATATACATCTTCAACAAAGTATCTACAATTATTCTAATGAAGAAAGATGTTATTCCAGTAACATTAAAAATGCATTCATGTAAAAGTTGCGCTTGCCTAAATTAATAGGACCTAAAGAAGAGTGAATAGGTCATTCAAACTTTGATTGCTTTTGCCAATTTTAATTCTATTGACTCTTAACTAATTAATTTGGTCAATTTTAATTCGCTCATGATTTAAATTAATACAATCAATCACCTTAATTCGTTCGGGTTTTACATCAATTAAGTGACTTTAATGGCTATTTTGACCTTCAAAAATATCAACTACCTAGCTTCAAAATTATATATAGCATCACCTTTAACAAGTGCCAATAAGAGAGATCGAGCTCTAATGGTGGTAGTACTCATTGACTGAATTCATGGCGACGCAGTGGTGGAAGTTATTCAAGTTGATGTGAACTTGTAATAATACTATGTTTAGATCACTAAATCGACACCTAATCAAAAGAACTCATTCAGTGCTTCCAAATACAACAGAAATGTAATAATATTTGAAAAGAATGAGCCTTATTAAGGTGATATGTTGGCCGATTTTGTTAGAGTGAATTGCACATTATTGTTTTTTAGAAGCCTAATTAAAATTTGTTCAGTATATATAGTTTAATCCAACATACATTTCTGTATTAGGTTGCAATACTTCTTTTTTTATCCAAACCACTTGTTATGACATTAAACAAAATATTACCATGTTTTATATGTTAGCTGTTATCTCTTGCTTTCAGAGCTTTCCTGCGTAAGAAGGTTAATTGGCATGGTAAATTACGGTTAGATATGAAAAGTATTTTATATGGTAAATTACGTTCAGTGTTTATTATTTTGATTTTCCCTAACATTTGGTTTGTGTACTTCTTTCCCATATACGTGTAGACAAAATTTGATAAAATGACCATTTTATCTCATGTAAAATGTAATATAATATATTATTATAATATAAGGATTTTACTTACTTTTCATACTTAAAGTTATTTTTTAAGAGAGGGGACAAAATAGTTGTAACGATCCACTCCACAACATGGTATGATATTGTCCGTTTTGGACCTGAGCCCGCACGGTTTTGCTATTGGGCTTTATCCCAAAAGGCCTCATGCCAATTGGAGATGACACACTTACATATAAGTACTTCACCTTTCCTCTACCCAAGTGATATAGAACTTGTGCACCCATAACTCGCTAGTGTGGTAGCCTGACAGTGTCTCTTGCACCCGCCCACGGCACACCCGCTCACAAGGTTATCACAATCAACCCCCCTTGGAGGCCCGACGTCCTTATCGGCACACTTCCAGCTGGGTCAAGCTCTGATACCATTTGTAACGACCCACTCCACTACATGGTATGATATTGTTCGCTTTGGGTCTGAGCCCGCACGGTTTTGCTCTTGGGCTTTACCCCAAAAGGCCCCATACCAATTGGAGTGACACACCTACATATAAACACTTTACCCTCCCTTTAGTCAGGCGATGTGGGACTGTGCACCCGTAATTCGCCAGTGTGGTAGCCTGACAGTGTCTCTTGCACCCACCCACGGCACACCCGCCCACAAGTTCATCATAATCCACCCCCCTTGGAGGCCCGACGTCCCCGTCGGCACACTTCCGGCTGGGTCAGGTTCTGATACCATTTGTAACGACCCACTCCACCACATGGTATGATATTGTCTGCTTTGGGCCTGAGGCCGCACGGTTTTGCTATTGGGCTTTATTTCAAAAGGCCTCATACCAATTGGAGATGACACACTTACATATAAGCACTTCACCTTTCCTCGACCCAAGCGATATGGAACTTATGCACCCGTAGCTCGCCAGTGTGGTAGCCTATCATTGTCTCTCGCACCCGCCTACGGTACACCCACCCACAAAGTCATCACAATCCACCCCCCCCCCCCGGAGGCCTGAAGTCCTCATCGACACACTTCCGGCTGGGTCAGGCTCTGATACCATTTGTAACGACTCACTCCACCACATGGTATGATATTATCAGCTTTGGGTCTGAGCCCGCACGGTTTTGCTCTTGAGCTCTACCCCAAAAGGCCTCATACCAATTGGAGTGACACACCTACATATAAACACTTTACCCTTCCTTTAGCTAGGCGCTGTGAGACTGTGCACCCATAACTCACCAGTGTGGTAGCCTGACAGTATCTCTTTCACCCGTCCACGGCACACCCGCCCACAAGGTCAGTGTTTATTATTTTGATTTTCCCTAACATTTGGTTTGTATACTTCTTTCCCGTATACGTGTAGACAAAATTTGATAAAATGACCATTTTATCCCATGTAAAATGTAATATAATATATTATTATAATATAAGGATTTTACTTACTTTTCATACGCAAAGTTATTTTTCTCAGTCGTCCAACGAATAAATTTAAGAGAGAGGACAAGGTAGTAAACGCTAAAAGATTTATCTATATATAATTTGTCTAAACCTCAAGGAAAATCAGTATAATTTATCCTATTTTGTAAACACAGTTAATGATAGATCTTATAGCCTCTTCTATTGCTACTGAAAAGAAATTTCTTAATGTGAGTTGCACTACACAGAACAGTTGTGAAATTCAATTTTAGAAAACAAATAGAGCGGGGTGAATTAGTTATTCGATTTTTATTTAGAAAGCTTACTATTTTTGCCTCTTACTATTACGGTTTGATTAAAAATTAAGATAAAAAATTAATATGGAAATCCCCTAAGTCTCTACAAAGTGGAATAGAATGAAAGAAATTCATTCACATAAACCTCTCCAGCTATGAAGCATAGACATGCCTACAAAGGGTGCCATGTCAAACATGTGTTTGACATGAACAGGTGTGTCCGAGGCTCGGATACATGTCTAATTTTTTATTATTTTTTTCAATGTCAGACATGTCAAAGGATACGTCAGACTTGTTTGCAACATGCTGAGGACACGTCGGAGACACGCCTATTTGGTGTCTTTTTTTAAAAAAAAAAGAAAAGAGAGAATGAAGGTGTGTGTGTGTGTGTGTGTGTGTGTGTATTCATTCACTGAGATCTATTAAGTGAGACAACTAATCTATAAACCTAAAAAAGATGAAGAGATTAAGGAAATGACAGAGCAACCACAAGCATGACAAAAAAAAAAAAAAAAAAAAAAAAAAAAAAAAAAAAGAAGCATGTTCTTCAGTGGCTGCTGGGCTTTACAGGCGAAAAAGAGGAACAATCTCTTATTTTCCATCCGAAGTTTCATCAGAATTCTTGGCTTAGCTGAATGATAGAGAAAGGGAGAGAGGTGGAGTAGATGATGAAGAGAGAAGTGAACCATGTGTGGAGAGAGAAATGGGATAGGAGATTGTTACCTTATCATCTTAGAAGGTGTGTTAAAAAAACAAATAAATTAAAAAGCATATATGTTTGGTTATAAAGATAGCTTATTCAACTTTTGGGGAGTAAGAATTTTTAAGGAGACACGTGGGACGCCTTATCTCCCTGAATAGTTACTAATTTACCCTTCTAAGTTTTGAATATTCAAGTTTGAAATTTTAAACTACAAGGACATATATGGAAAGATGTAAAATATATTGTTTGAAAAAGGAGAGTGACAATTATTTTGGGACAGACCAAAAAGGAAATTATGACATTTTTTTTATTTTTTTCTTTTTTTGTGGACAGAGGGAGTATAAACTTATATTTTAACAAAATTTGAACTTATAATTTTTATGTTTTTTTAAGAATAGTCCGGATTATTTGGTTAGTCTAATTTAAATATAAATAAAAATAAAAATTTATATATAATAAAAATATATATTATTATTATTTTATTATCATATCCTTGACGTGTTCGTGTGTTTTTTCTAAAAAAATTTACCGTATTCGTATTCTGTTATAGCGGTGTCCCATGTCCATATCGATGCTTCAAAGCTCTCCAATTTTCCCACTAGACGTAAGTTGAATTCAGATCTGCTTTTAACATTCTTAGCCTATTAACCGAATATACTTCAAAACAATTTACCTATTTATAAAGAAAAACAAATAGTCCACAATTATAAAAGAAAATATTTTTAAGTTCAAACTTCAAATAAAGAGAGAGTTCGTAATGATCCTCTCAAGCCATATAACTTACAGAAACATTTTTTTTTCCCCCTAGGTATTGTTGAAAAGTCTACGACCACAGAGGAATAAAGAAAACACAAATTGTAGGTGTCAGTGCCAATTCATTAGCTGGGTTGAATACCTTAAATTCTAGGATTAATTGCATGTATATCACTTGAGGTTCGATCAAAGTCACTCAATGACTTATTTTATATTGACATCTTTTGAGTTTTAAAAAATGTGCATTGCTACTCCATCAGACGTTTAAGTCATATAAAAATACATTTTAACCCTTTGACTTATCAATGACCTTATTTAAATCATAAAATTATAAATTTAAGTTCCTAACTAAATTTAATAAACCAAACTAACCTATTCATCTCTTCTATATATATAAATATAGTTTATATATAACAATATAATACTTGTAGCACTGTAACCACTATCACAACATAAAAAAAAAAAAAAAAAAAATTATTATTTTTTAAAAATAACCAGATAATTGTACACCGTCATAACCACCACCACCACCACACCCAGTGGCGTCGCCACATAGGGACAAGTGGGGGCAGCCGCCCCCACTAAATTTTTTATTTTTTAATTTTATATGGAAAGATTTTTATATTTGTATAATTGTCCCCCACTAAAAGTTGACATTGCGCACACACACACACACATATATATATATATACAACCAAATGACCATTCACTGTTTTATATAAAAAATAAATAAATAAAGGAATATAATCTTTTCAAAAAATATGATATTTTTTTTCACTTTCTCAAAATATTATATTTTTTCCTACTTTTCTCAAAAATACAAGATAATCTTTCAC